TGGGAAAAAGCAGCATGCATGTTTTGTGCCATTCGTTTTCAATGAGGTGTGGTTTGCTGCGTATGTTGCATGATTTATCAAGCGGCAAACTGCATCTCTCAAAGCTTGCTGCCCAAAAAGGAGCATGAGCCTGAGGAATAATGGGTAAGACTCATCCTATGTTAAAGTATATCTAAAGCCAAAACTTTTTTCATTTTGGAAAGAGGAAGAAATTGATAAGACCCCATCTGGATTCATTTTTTGTCTGTTTCCCCATTTGGGAGATTTACTTCATTTCTTGTCCTGTAAACACAACAGTAAGTGAGGGAAATTTTCTTCAAAGTGACAGAACTCCATTTTTTGACAGTTGTCAATAGAATAAGTATCCTCATTGAAAGGTTTCCCCTCTATTTCTCTTCTGTGACAACTCAAAATGTTTGATTTTCTCTCATTTTCAGTCACAGTGACAACGGTCACCAAGGTAGTTAGAGAGGGTCAATCTCTTATGGTGACACAGACAACAATAAAAATCTGCCTGGAGTTCTAACCTCCCACCTCTCTATCTAAAAACAAAAAGAAAATCCAAAAATATCTCCAAGTCACAAAAGTCTTTCACTAGTCATCATAAAATGGTATGTTATTTGTAGTTCTATGATCCATAAAACAGCAAATTAGGCAGGTGAATCACTTTATCCTATGTGTTTCACATTTACAAGCGCACATTAGCAAGATATCGCTGAAATATTTTACATACTGACCTGGTGAATTTACTCAAGTAAGTCAGAATTCAAATTGGTGTGCCTAAAACAGCAGGTAACAAAAAGGTAGACGTGGTGACATTTTCTCAATAAAAAAATATGCAAAATGTCTGTGACCTTTAAACTCAGGTGGAATACATCAGACAACATCTGGTTTGTATGTTTGCACAAGAAGGGCAGAAAAACAAAGACATGTGAGTGTTGCTGCACTGATGCAATTTAAGAAGCGAGGCATTCGAAATATGCTGTGCATACCCGAGGGATATATTATTCTCTAGCCTGCCCAACACAACCATTCTCATGTGTTGAAATAGGTTTAAATACTTATTGTTGAATGCATACTTTATCACAAATTAACTGGTTTCATTTCCAGCCCACAGTATATCACCCAAGCATGTTATGATCCACAATGACAAAGTAGTATCTCAATTTTCTTCAGATATCAATCTTTAACTTTCTCAACTTTCACTCTTAAAAGTGAATCTAATTAATGCCCTTACCCAAGGGCAGAATTAGCACCATATCGAGGGCCTGGCAGCAGATAAAGCATGTAGATAGCTCTCAACTGTCCCTCATTTAGAAGGACTGCCCCTCTTTTCAGGCCAAATTCCTCTGTCTCCAATTCAGCCCAAGTGTTCCTTTTTTTGGTCTAATGTGTATATCTGCTTACAAAATGTACTATTTTTCCACCATGCTGTACTAAACTTTTTATCCAACCTCTATGTCACTGCGTTTGGTATTGTGGAAAGACAATATAAAGGAAAACAGAGGTCACAAAAGCACTTGTGTGGTTTAGCCAATCTTTTTTTGGCATACTAGATCTTTGTGGTCCATATAACTTGGGTCATGACAGGAACGTGTCCTTAACCCACATAGTGTGGGCTAAAAGGTGTTCCTTTTTCATCAGAAAGTTGGGAGGTATAATACGGTAAGTGTGATGTTGTATGGTTCATGTGTGACATTACATTCATCTATTGATAAAACATCCCCCTAAGTATTCTGAAATCTTGCAAGACCTCAGGGGAAAGGCTTTTTATCATAGACAAGTTTGCTTCATATAGTGACATGCAAGATGCAGCAGGAGACATCATTTCTGAACCCAACAAGCATAAGGAAAACAAAGCCAGCCACTGGTGTCTTTTTTAAAAAATGCGTGGGTTTGGAGTCGGATCTCTTAGATCCTTAAGATTGGGCTAGAATTTGCCAGGCCACTAAATCCTGCTCTATGAATGTTGCCATGCTGGAGGCTTCCTTTAATGTATTCTCTCACTGGGACTTGTCCTGACCCATGTATGTAAATTTGTCCAAAATTACCCCATTCAGGGCTGCAGGGAATCTGGAACGCAGCTACATGTGTAGTGAACATGGCTAGTAGTCCTCAAATTTTGGGTAGAGGTTTTCAACCTAATATCCACTATGTTAAGCAAAACCATCTCTCTAGACCCCACTATAGCAACACTAAACATGCACCCTCCAGTTATTACCACTGTGCAATTCAAACTTCTATTACAAATCATGACCACAGAAAAGCAGGCAGTGGCAGCTGCTGGGAAAACCAGAACCCTGAGCTTTGACTGCAGTTAGATATCACCCGTTGCTATGATTCTTAGCAAAATTGAGGCCACCTTACTTGACTGAATCCCTAACTATTCCAAAATCAGGCAGTCCTGAATGGCCAAATTACTCCCCACAGATACCACACTACTTGACCCATAATATAATATTGATAGCTGTATAACTTTAGGTGGCATTACCACTCTTACCCAGGCTTCTCAGGAACCCTTCCCTTTGTGCCCTCTTTCTACCCCACCACTTCATTACCCCCCCCCCCCTTTGTCTATCTGAATGTCCATTATGGGATATATTGTCTTAAATCAATGCCAGAACTGTTTTACTTGATGTTTGCTAGACCAAGTCACCTTAAAGCTAGGTATGCCCATATCACTCTACTACCCGTTTGACATGTATGTTTCCTATTCTCTATTGTAGATCCCATCAATCTGTTGTTATATGATATACAGTAAAAAAAATTTGTTTTAAGAAGAAAAATGCATGGGTTTGCAACCCACGGGCGGAGTTTATTTTAAGTGTAACCAAGGTAACAGGATTTACTTTGGCCAATAATGTAATGGAGAGCATTTACATTATTATTATTATACAGGATTTATATATTGCCAGCAGTTTGCTCAGCGCTTTACAATATAATGGGAGGCAATACAGCAACAATACAGTTCAATATAAGAGGGATAGGAGGGCCCTGCTCCTCGGAGCTTACAATCTAGGAGACATCAATGTAAAGGGATTTTAAAGGGGTGCTTTCCTTTACCCTGAACACCAATGTAAACTGCGTTTTATTAAGGGGCCCTGCCCTCTACCCTGACCCCCAGAGTAGGCAGGATTTTATTGGGGGTCTTGTCTTTTAGCTGAACACTACCACGGGTTTGTGGTGAATCCCTTGCAAATCATGAACTTTTGCCCAACAACTTTGCAGGTTCATTGCCTGAAATGCACTTTATAGTGTTTGCCATTGGTCAGCTCAAGAGAACATACTTTGAAAGAATAGATAGCTCAGGACAATTTTTTATAAAATTCTGTATAGAAGAGATACTGGTTTATTTATTATTAGTTTTTTTTTTTATTTGTTAGTTTTCCTTTTGGCGTTGCCACATGTCCCTCATGGCAGTGCCTAGCTTTCCATGTCCATTGCTAATAGAGTGCTTATTAGCCCTACAAATATCCAGAACTGAATAATAAGATGTGCCCAAAGACTTCAAGCAGATTCCCCACAAAGTTTGCAATCGTCCTTTCCTTTACACTAGCCACTAATGTAACAGAGCCATTTACAATAGCATAAGAATAGGGTGAAAATAGGAGAGGGGCATAGACCACTACAAAGCACCGATTTTCGGGGGTTAGCATCAGTATTTTACTATGGAACTCAGGGATTTGTGGCTAAGCCCCCGTTCTCAACATTTTTCAAAAGGGCAACTAGTTGTAAAAAACAGGCTGTTGTGATTTGCAAAATGGTTGCATATGTAATGTAATGTTCATATTCAACATTTTCAATTTATTTATTATCTACATAAGTGTACATGGATATATGTGGTTAAGAGAAAGTTCAAATTACCTTCTGGCAATTCCTTTGACAGAGGTTGATCTGCTGGTAAACTGATACCCAGTGGCTTTCTATGCCATAGAAATTGAAGTTACCAGACTTCAGGTATTCTAAATCCTTGAATACAGCTGTACAAAGCACCAAACCCAAATGTTATGACCACATGACAGACACATAAACCTTTATATTAATGGCCATTCATGTCTGTGTACTCGGCAGACACATTTAACACCTGTTGTTGGTGGGGTGAGAACAGTCTGTTGGCTAAAAAAGTACCAGCCAAAATCTTCCTTTCCACAATTTATTGAAATCAACCTTCATGCACACAAGAATAAACACTACATCATGGTATGGCCACTACTATACTAATAAATAAGGTACTGATATTTTAAAGTAGCATTATCCACGTTTGTTTTCAGTTCTTCTTTTAGTCCATCTCCAGTGGGTACCACCTTGTAACACTGCTTAAAAGGGACCCGTCTGTTAAACATGTATACAATATTAATATCCAAGTGCAGTTTCTATAGGTTTACTATATACGAAAGTTATGTTGTTATGGGTCATACTCATTTTCATGCTCAAGGAAATTAAATACTATCTGTTCATCTTAGCAGTTTCTGGGCTACCATCCAGCACTGGAGGATGCCATTATCCCTCTCTAGTAAGCAGAACACACTTCTGCAGCATCACACAGAGTAATGTGCCTGCCCCAAGCTAGCACTGTTTCCTGCAGAAAAGCAATTGCAGCTTCCAGCAGTGGCAGAAATCTCGGTACCATGTATCCACTATCCTAACTAGAAGTTTAAATAGACTGTTCCTCGAATAACTGAAGATGTTCTTTTTTAAAGAACCTCTATGATGTTTGCACCATTATTGAAAAATGCATTTGTTAGTTAACTGATGGACATAAGCAGGGCTTAAAATTTCAAGTCCTGAGCTACTAGCCAGGCCTTAAGAGTTACTCGCCACCAACAAACACACACACAACAGAGACACCTGTACACACACACAGACATGTACATACACAAACAGAAACATGTACACACACGCACAGAGACACATGTACACTACACACATACAGACACATGTATACACACAAAGGCACGTACAGACACGCATACACACAGATACATGTACATACACAGAAATACACAGACACATGTACATACACACAGACACATGTACATACATACAAAGACACATATACACACAGACACATGTACGTACATACACATAAACACACACACACAACACACATGTACATGCACACACACACATGTACACACAACACAGATACATGTACACACACACATACATGTACATACACGCAGACACATGTACAGATACACACATGTACATACACACAGACATATGTACATGCATGCACAGACACACACAAACACACACACATGTACACGTACACACACACACCCATAAAAAGTTGCAGTACTTCGTTGTTCACGCACAGAGCCGGGTACTGCACTCTAGGGGGAGGCAGAGAGCACAGCACGCACTCCTTCCTTTGCTTTCACTGCGCTCAGTTATTGAGCAGTCTGATGGCTCTCATTGCCAATGACAGATCCGGCCTGAGCTCCGAGCCTGCTCAGCAAGATGGCCCTGGGGGACACACTCGCCCCCACCATAATTTCCACTCGCCATTGGCGAGCTGGCGAGTGGAAATTTCAAGCCCTGGCCATAAGCATTCCTTTCTGCTTTGATTGGAGGTTTTACATCATCCAGGCATTGTTTTCTCTTGCTGAGCAGTAACAGTTTTTAGTGTGAATGGTAAATGTACAGATGCTAATGTTCTAACAAAAGGAGGAGGCTTTTCAGTCCTCCTCCAGGACACTCACCCATTGGGACAACTCTGCCACTACCTTTCAGCTAGAGGACACTACAGATAGCTTTTACTATGCCTAATTGGTGTGGATATTCCCCTTCAAGGTTGGTGATACGGACTTTCCCTACGCATAGTGTATAGGAACCTCTCTAATTTAAGTTAGCATCTTATTAAGTTATGGGAATATGAGACCACTCTGGCAAAGTATTTGAAAGACTAGCTGAATATGTACCTTCAAAAAGATCCAAGACTCTCTACAACAACTTTGAATGGCAGATGCAGTTCTCATGGTGGGGTCCCTTTCTGTTCAGTATTATACCCCTGTTCTTGCCCAGGAAGAGTTTTTTAGTAAGGATACACTGCTGTAGCAGTGCCAATACCAAGTATTTTCATGAGTACTCGTACCTGTGAAAATGCTCCCGATACCTGAAAATGAATACTTTGCAGTGCGATTTGCATCCATTCCAAACAAATGGGCGCAATATCATGCAATTTGAACAGGAATGGGGTGCAATTCCTATGAAAATCGCATGCGGTTTCCCCACCACTCCTGTGTGCACCCAGGCTTGTCATAGAGTTCAGTAGTAGAGAACAAAAGAAAAGAGCGCACCAACCTTGCACATTACCTCAGTAAACAGTTCATGAATTTATTGATAAATTATACTCACAAGAGTAGCAGTAAAAAAGGCATATAACATCCAAAACCAACACAGGGTTAGAAGACACGTGTGAGTCCCATTCAGAAGGGAGATATACTCTTGGTCAAGCTGACGTGTTTCAAAGGGGGATCCCTTCTTCCTCAGAGCTAGTCACAAAGAGATAAGCCACCCCTAAATATAGTGTTGCTCTATCGCAGGGCCTGCCCTCGTGAGTGGGATGGCCTCATTGGGGGGGGGGGGGCGGGGGTTGGGGCTAAATGTGTCACAACAAATAGTAATAATAAAAAATAGTAACATACATAGCATACAAAGCACAGATAAAAAATATAATATGATCACAAATGGAAAAGGATAAAGGAAAAACGATAATACTAATATTAATGTAAAAGGACATTATAATTAAAATGAAGACATCATTAATTAAAAATACAAATACTAAGTTTGGAATAAAGTCAACATAAGGATGGATACCTCAGTTCATATTAAACATGAAAATTAAAAATAATTGTAAAGGGCAAAAAATACTCAAAAAGAGATAAAAGAGACAAAATCCAAATAAAAGTTTTACCTTAAAAGGTCTACAAAAGAGGACTTAGATTGCTGGCATGAATGATCTATTTCCAGTTCAGTTTATATTCACAGGAGGCATTCTGCCACTATGTGTCAGTGTTTCTGTCAGTTTTGCAAAACAGGTGGTGAAAATGGGGAATAAATACTGCAGAGAGACTGCATGTGGCGGTGGAACGCACGCCGGCATCTAAAGCGCTTGTAAGCATGCACCGTGCGCTCCAGCGGCCATTTTGGTGGAGGGCACATTGCAGGAAGTGGCTTATCTCTTTGTGACTAGCTCTGAGGAAGAACAGACCCCCCTTCGAAACACGTCAGCTTGACCAAGAGTATATCTCCCTTCCGGATGGAACTCACACATGTCTTTTAACCCTGTGTTGGCTTTGGATGTTATATGCCTTTTTTACTGCTACCCTTGTGAGTATAATTTTATCAATAAATTCATGAACTGTTTACTGAGGATATGCGCAAGGTTGGTGCGCTCTTTTCTTTTGTTCTCTACTACAGTTTATATCAAGCTTCCCCAGCTTCGTGTTAGAGCTGTATAACCTTTGATCAGTGTTGGATGAACATTATCATTTTATTCGATTGGCCTTCCTCTGATCTGAGCCACTGAGCGCAGGAGGTGGTGGATGTGTATGGAATAGCCTGAGTTCACACAGGACCGGTGCAGGAAACCTCCCTGCACCGTTCCCATGCTGTCACACAATGAAAAGCCACTTCACAGGTCTGGGGATTTGAATTCCCTGCGCCTTTCTCTCCTATCCTTGCAACGGATTAGACGGCTTCTGATTGGTAATGGTGTTGACCAATCAGAAACTGTCTAACTCTACTGTCCTCCCTGCATTGCAGCATCTCCGACTCTCCAGGCAAGATCATACAAGACATCAGAAGTATATGATGAGCGTGTCTTTCACTTTCATCTTGCAAGTTTTTATTACTGCTGCTACATTAAACTATTTTAAACATACTGCACTCAGCAGGTGCTTCTCTTTCTCTTTCTTTATGCAACAAGAGATGGTCAGAAACTATTAGAATGCTATAAGAGATGGCCAGAGACTACAGACAAACAATAGGAGGTGGTCAGAATCTATGGCCATCCTAAAAGAAATGGTTAGAGATTGCAAACATGATACAGGAGTTGTTACAGATTAAGGACATGCTTCTAGGGACTGTTATAGACTGGAGACATGTTACATTAGACTGCTAGAGATTACTGTTTTTACAGCCCTTTTACAAACCACCTTGGCTTTCATCCTGTAAACTTATTTGTGCCACATATGATATTTCTCTCAGCAAGATTCGTTATAAAAAGCATAAAGATATAAAATGCATGGACAGCACAGAAATAGTAAGACAGTGTGAAAAAAAAAAAAAAACATTTAACTACTGGAAGCTAGTCTAAAGAATATTTCTGGCCTGAGTAAGCACCTAGGTATAAGAAACACAGACTATTGTCTGCAGGGACCCAGGGGTTGCACAGTAAGAATTAAAGAACCCCATGCAACCCCTGGGTTGCAGGATGGGCACCAGTATAGCAACCCTTCCAATCTACAGTAGAATATACACTTTAATCCTACAGAATGTAAGCTTCTATGGGTTGAGGTCTAACTTTTTTTTTATCCTGTATATGTTTTCTTATGCAGAGGTATGTAGTAGCTTGTAGCTGTAACACTTCATTTGCACAGCTCCATTTGGGACTACTTTACTGTATAAATCCTGATGATACAAAATCATTCATTATTATTATAATATTTATGAGTCCAACCGCCAGCAGCAATTTACCTGCTATGCCTTGATGAGCTAGCGATGACTTGAAGACAATTGAGAATGACGAACCTGCAATTGCTGTCTCTTAGTAAGAACCGCTTTATTAGATTTTGTTAACATCATAAAATCACAACAAGGTTATAAGACTCCTGGCCACTAGCTGTTTATCATGCATAGATCCAAGTACAGGACTGTCATTCTCATTTATTTCAACTTTTCCCTGCTTAAAGTGACATATTTGTGTACTATTGCAACAACACAGTTGGTTACTGTCCATATTTTTTATTATTATTATACAGTATTTATGACGTGCCAACAGTCTGTGCAGTACTTTACAATATAAAGGGAGACAGTACAGTTACAATACAACGCAAGAGCGTTATTTGCACCAACAGTTAAATTTTCAGAAAGTTTGTCCTGAAAATGTATCTGTTAGTGCAAATTTAAAAAAGTTTCACGGAGAATACTCATCTGTGTTGTTGCAACTTTTACCTCTAATGTATAAGTTGGGTAATGAATGATCACAACACATCATGTAGTAACAGCATTTTAATCTATTAATATGTTGTATAACAAACTTAGATATGATGTACTGACACATTACATTAATGTAAGAGATATTACTACTGCATACCTATTACACAATGTTCTTTCCGCTTTCCTTCTTATCTGAAAACTTTTACATGCTGTTCAATGCAGACAAAGATGCAATTAATTTATTTTATTTTGTATAAAAAGACACTAAATGAAAACAGAGTATGTGATTGTGACTGCAAATTCATCAGTTATATGATTTCTTGGTATTTCTAATTTAAATAATTCCTTGTGACCATGGGATTTCATTACACAGCACTCTATTAGGATGATGTTATTTTATAGTCTGACCTTCGTGCCTGCGGGACTATCTGCCAGACAATAACACTGGAGCCAAAGACTTGTATATTATTAGTGTTCGTTTTAAAAACAATTTTAAAATGACCTATTTATCCTTCATTATATGCTGATGAGTACTAATTAATCTTATTGTGACATACACTTTTTGCAAACCTGTTACGCAAGTTGAGTTCATGTGACCTGTAGCAGCATGTGATATTTTTGCATTGTTTGTATGTTGTAGTATTCATAAGTGCTTTAAAAACAATACACAGGATAGTCCACCTGGTAAAGACATAAGAAGTACAGGTGAGGGACAGTACAATGAAAAGCAAAAATACTGAGCATTCCATGTGAAAATTTTTGAAAAGTCATCATTAATTTGAATGTGATTTTTGATGACTGACTGTCAATGATATTAGAATAGATAAACCTAAGAGTTTATCAAAAGAAAGATTTTTCTAAATATGGTGCAGTGACACTCTTTCAACTGAAAATGAGTATTACAGTGGCTAAATGGTTAGCACTTCCACCTGGCAGTACTAGGGTCGTAGGTTTGAATCCCAGCCACAGCACCACCTGCCTGGAGTTTGCATGTTCTTCCTGTGCCTGTGTGGGTTTCCTCTGGGTGCTCTGGTTTCCTCCTACACTCCAAAGACATGCTGGTAGGTTAATTGGCTCCTGTCTAAATTGGCCCTAATATGTGTATGTATGAATATGAGTTAGGGACCTTAGATTGTACACCTCTTGAGGGTTAGAGACTGATGTGAATGTATAATATATATGTAAAGCCTTGCATAAATTGACAGCACTATATAAGTACCTGAAATAAATAAATACATTTTTTTACACCTCACCAAAAGATAGCAAGAGTTCCTTTGCTCTGGTAAATGTTATTCTGGGGTGATTTGCATGGTAAAAAAACCCTGTTAGTTGGGCAAAAGGAAATAATTCCTTTTGCTTTTATTAACTAATAATGTAAAAATTAAACAAAATAGAC